AGCTCTGTCGTCCGCTTCCTCGACCTGTCTTGGAGTCCTCTTGGGGTCGGTCGAAGGTCGACGCCGGGGGGTCAATCGACGAGGGGGGGCCCGCGGGCGGCCCCCTCGCGTCGCCCCGATGACAACTTTGGCATCCAGGGGGTTGTACCAATGACATCGCCCAAATCAGTGTTTACTACCCCAGCCTCGTCACTTTCGGTATGAGATTATTCTATTGGAGGCGTACTGGGGCGCAGCGTCCAGGGGGTGGTACCAATGACATCGCCCAAACCAACGTTCACTACCCCAGCCTCGTCACTTTCGGCATGCTACTACTCTATTGGAGGCGCGCTGGGGCGCTTGATGCGTGGGCGACAGGGTGGCCACGCCAGTGGGCCTTCGTGGCCTGGCCGCGAAGTTCGCGAGCGGTTGGGCGAGCGCTCGGGTCGAATGGCTCCGTCGCGGCAGGCTGCAGCGGTGAAGCGGGGCCTCCGAGGCCATGGGCGCAGCCTTCCGAGTTGCGCTCCATTTGGGTTCATCAATTTCGGCGCCGAGGTGGGCCGTGTCAGGGCGGGCTCCGCGACGTACCTCCTTCTGCCTAGCGCAGAACTTCGAGAGCCGCGAGGGCGAGGGGAAACTGCGCCAATGCTTCGGCCTCGTGGATTTCCGAGTAGCGCCCAACGAGGGCATCGACAGCGTTCCGCCCCGTTGCCAGGTAGCCGGAGGATACGCCGAAGCAGCTGGATTCGGATTTGGAAAGATTTTGTATTCATTATTCGGCATTCAAGTGCGAGCTTGACGTGCGCCGCCGCGCGAAGTTTCAACGCTTTTTCAGCCTCTGAACGAAATGAGCTTAGGTGCCTGGCGGAATATTGCCAGCTACTGGGCGCCATCCGACGTCGACGACACACTGATGAACGAGCACGTGGGAACGTCGCCCAGCGCCCGGGTGGACCTGGTCGCAGTTGTGCCCGCCTGCCGACCGAGAACACCTGCGTGCTTGGCGGGGGCGCGCCAGCGGAAGGTCATGCGCATCCAGGTGTACCTGCGGCCGGCACTTCGACCTTCGTCGCCAGCGCTACTCAGACACCTCCTGGCGACTGAGGAGAGACTTGGCCGCCAGGGCGCCGCCGCCACCTGCTGCGCCGGCTACGCGGTCGCCGGCTACGCCGACGGTCACTCTGCGGGTCAGCCCCGCAGACGACGACGACAGTGTCGCCGATGCAGACGCTATGTCGCTCCTTGGCGAAACCAATCTCACGTGGGGTGACTTGAGAGATAACCTTGCTGCGTAGCGCGCGCAGGGCAGGAGTTTTCCAATTCAAACAATGCCAGGACGAAAGATGGAGGAGATGTGTGAATAAGCCTGTTTGCCCTGCGCGTCGCTTGATCAGGAGCGCGCATCGGTGGCGGAGCGGGGGTGGTCAAGGTTGCTGACGACGACCGACAGGATGAGGTATCCATGCCTTCGTTACCGCCCTTTTCTGAGGACATCTACGAGGAGCTAGTCTGCGGTGGTCGTGGAAGGCCAAGGAGAAGGCTTCCGCCGTCGTCGACGATCCTCTGCGAAAGGGGCACGGGGTGGTACCTGAATCCTGTTGGTCGAGGCGGTGCGGGCATGGCGTGTCATGATTGTGGGTCCACGCAGCACGTGGTGCGAGAATGTACTCGGCTTGCAGGTCAGATACTGCCAGGTGAGATAAGATTGCTCACGAGCACCGCCGAGTACCTTGACCTCCCAGTGTGTAGTCAACCATAACAGCTGTGCTTCATCGGGACTGCATGAGAGTGTGTGCAGTGCATCTTTGAGCAGGTATACTGGGGCTACGATTGCGACCTGCACTGATCAATCAATCAATAAGTGGAAAGTGGGGACAATATTGAGATATACTGATTCGGACGAGAACATGTGCCATACCTGCGACAATGATGCTGCACTACAGCCCTCCCGCAGCTCGAATCCGAACAAACGCATGCAGTTTTGAGAACTCTCGGTGGTGATTATGATATGATATTGC